CGGGGGAGGGGCTGAGGGTGGGTGGGCCTGGGGAGGGGGCTTCCCTCTCTTACTCCCAAATAAGGAGCCCAGGAGGGAGGATGAATTAGGCATAGTCTGGTGTGGGCGAGATGGACACTCTCGTGTTGATGTAGCTCTCCGGCGCATGTGAGGACTGCTAATGATGGACCCCTAAAAAGGAAATTCATAGAAATCAAAATTAAAAGATCTTAAAGCACTTATGTCAGAATGATTTTTTTTAAATGTAAAAATTCACCCACTGACTGCTAAGGTTTAGTTCAACTTGCTGGCCAGAGGGCGGGGCCGGATGAGGCTGGACTTGGGCCCCCACCTCCTTTCACGCTGCTGTGCAGGACAGCTGGGGGCGGCCAACCATAACGGAAGTGGGGGACGAGGGCAGGGGAGGGGGCCGCCTTTCTGTTCATCTGCCGCAGCACGAGTGTGGCTTCTGCTCTCGTTCTGACAAGCACTTAGAGCCTGGCGCCCTGCCTGAGGTTTCAGATGAGAACGACGGGGTCGGGCGGTCTACGAGCTGTGTGTGGTGAGCGGAGCGGGGCCTAGAACCCAGTGCCTGCTGGACTCCCCTGGGGCCTCGCAGCTGGGCCGAGCCCCGTGTGGGTCCTGAAGTTTCTGGGGACGTGGTGACAGAGAGGTGGGACTCAGAGACCTTGTCCCTTGGGCGTGGGCTGCCTAGGTGTTTCGCTGCAGCTACCTACTGCAAACCAAACAAGGAAAAAGGAGGAAACAGAAAAAGACCTGCAAGCTGAGGTTAAGATGTGAACAGTAATACAGAGATGGCCAGAGGATGAATGAAATCTCATGAAATCCACACCGAATTTTTCTTCCTCTCACGACGCTCCTCCTCCCACCAGCCAGCTAAGCAATTCCGTGGTGTCCTAGCTGCAGACACACTGCAGTCGAAACTCCAGGGAGGGAGCGACGGGGATGGCAGAGCACGGAAGGCAGGAGTTGGGCACGCACATCCAGCAGCGAGAGTGACAGCTGACTGGGGGCACGGTGGCGGGTACCTGCCCGCCTGGGACCCGGGGTGGGGATGCCAGAAAGGTGGGGATGGTTAACCATGCTCAGGGACCACAGGGGATAGGAGTTAAGTGGAAACTGAAACACAAAATCCAGAACCGCCCCCCACCGTTCAGCCCGAAACAAGCGGTGAGAGGCATGGATGCTTCTAGGCACGGAGGAGAAGCTGCATGCACAGGTCAGGCGGGCGGGGGCAGGGAGGGGGTGTCTGCGTCTCTGTGTGGCAGGGGAAGGAAGAGCAAAAAAAGACAAGAGATAAACCGAGGACTGGGGAGGTGACACACGACAGCCAGCCGGACGAGGTGCTTCCTACTTACTTCCACATTGCTCTCTAGCGATCCCGCACTGCTGCGACGCCCTCGCTTCCCTGCCCAGAACATGCAATACCAGAGGTTAGACACGGACATGAGGCCAGGGGCGCTGCCTGCCTGGCGCTGCACTGCCGCCGCTGCCGCCACCGCCACGAAGCCTGCGCCGCTGTCGGGAACAGGCGTAGGTGCCAGCAGCAGCCAGGTGAGAGGGGTCGGCGCAGGGGCTTGGTGGGGAAGCCGGCAACAGTGCAGGAATGAATTTTAAAAATGGAGTTTTCGAAAAGCAAAAAATAAATAAATAAACAAAAATTTAAACCAGCCCCAACTTCATGTGCCTTCTCCTGGCCCGGTAGTCTGTGGGAGGGGCCTCGGAGCTGGGGCGTGTATACAGGTGGGCTGGACGCCTCCAGCTCCAGTCTGTTCACCCCAACTCGGGAGAACAGGAGAGGGGGCGAGGGCAGCCTCTGCAGCAGCCACAAACACACACAGCGTGCTTGGTCCTCAGCGGCCCTGTCTTCCAGTGGATTCCATATATGTATGTATATACGTACACGCACACACATACATATATATATATTGCCCCTGCTTTTATTGGCAGGGTGGGGACTGATGGTTAAGATGAAACTAAACTTCATGTCCCCTTTTCCTCCTGGGTGCCTCTGGGGGCTGAGTTTTGGTTTGTGCAGTGCCCTGGCCAGGGCTGGAGACAGGGTTGGGGGCTGAAGGGCAAAAGTCCTCCCAGCCCAGGGCCCCTCTGCTGGCACTACCCCCCGAGGAGGCCACAAAGCATTCCCCAAGGCAGGAGGCCTCTTCCTTGTGTGCCTGGGGCAGGCTACACAGCAGGCACTCAATATGCGCTGGCTCTTTCAAAGGAAGGTCGTGTCTTGCTCTTGGCTCTGGATGTCTGGGGTCCAGCTCAGCCTCCACATTCCCTTTGGAAGACTCGTCCCTGGGTTTCTGCAGGACACGGCCTGACGCACCATGTGTGCCCAGCCTTAGGGGCCTGTGCTGGCCAGCTCCCTGGGAGTGAGGACGGGAAGAGGGGACAGAGACTGGCCCTCCCTGGTTAACTTTCTCTAAGCTTCCACCTATGCAGCATTGGCTATGAGTTGAGTACCACGCTGGACGTCAGTCCTACAGGCGTCACTGTGTCCACGACAGAGAAGACACTGAGGCCCAATTCCCACAGGGAGTGGGCTTCACACCCAGACCTGCCTGCCTACTTCTAGGGCTGGATGACTTGGCCACGCTGCTGTCTGAGCTGGGCCCAGGGCCCGGGGCCAGGACCCTGGAGGAAGGAAGAGACTGCCGCGTGCCTCCCTGTTGTCCAGCCTGCCCAGCTTCTGGAGTGAAAGCTGCTGCTCCTCAAAGGCAGACCAGGGTCACCAGCCAAGCACTGGGTGAAGAGTGTGTCTGTGGGTTTGGGGCCTCATGGTGGTCATCTGAGTGTGCCGGGCTGTGCATGGGGTACAGCTTCAGTCCTGGGCACAGACACTGACTCGGGGAGTCCAGTAACTTTGCATTGCCTGCCAACCCCCACAGCTGAGGTCCAGATGGGAGTCTGGGTCAACAGAAGGCCTTGCTCGGCGCTGGCTTGTGTGAGATGGCTCTTGGGACAGGGCTGCACCACAAATTAGGGGCAAGAGAAGGGTCACATTTCCTCATCTTTCCGCCTGTGCAAGAAGAGAGGCTGACCTTTGTTCCCTTCCTGTGATCCAGGGACATGGAGCAGAGTTAGAGTCCAGACTCCCAGAAGGAGGCTCTTTGGCTGGGATGTGGCCTGCCTGGCACTGCTTAGCTTCTTTACCTCAGTTTCCGCATCTGCAGAACGGACGTGACCTCCCTCCTCCACTCCCTCCTGGGTGGCCATGGCCATCAGACACTCAGGACGCTGCGGCACCACGTGGAAAAGCTGAGAGCCAGATCTCTGCTGTCTTTGGGGTTTTAAAATTAGCTGCTTGGTCCCTCTAAGGCCTGGGCATCCCCCTCACTGACTGAAAACCAGGGGCAGAGGGAAGACGGCTTGCCCTGCCAGTCCTGCAGCCTCTTCCCATGGCCTGCGTCTCCTGACAGGGCCCGGGCCAGGCCTGAGAGCTGGGGGTAGCCATCCACATGGTGTCCCCACCTGGAGGTGAACGCAGCCCTCCTCCTCCTGCCCAGTTTGGGCTGACACGTAGGAGTCCCTTGACTTGGCTGTCTCGAAGCGATGCTGAATGTCTCAAAATCCACCTTCTTAACGTCTCGGATCAGCAGGCGATGCAGGCTGACCCCAGGGTCTCTGCCCTGAGTCCCAGAGCCTGGTGCTCTCAGGCTCACCCACAAGCATGTGCCCGCGGCAGACCCGTGCAGATGTCCTGTGCATACGTGCACACGCAGTCTCCAGCTCTTGCTCAAATATGGGCTGACAGGGACATGCCAGAATAGTGGCTCCTGCCACACACGTGTGCACGCACATGCAGCCACACGGCCCCACCTGTGCCCACCCTCGCCCATTTCGTTCTGTTTTCAGCCCCCCAAGTCCTGCACTAGCCTCGAGTGAGCCCCGGCCTAGTCAGTGCCCTTCCTAGCGCCAGATCAGGCCTCGCCGACCCTGGCGACACGCTGCCTGGAGGCATCTGGAACCATTTTTCTGGAAGGGCTCCCAGCATCGTTCTTCAGTCATTGCTGCTTCCTCAGAGTCATGACAGGATGCCATGTGGCAGGGCTCTCCTCCCCAGCCAGAGTCCTCGTCTTGTGACCCTCAGCAATGCTGGGGGCCAAGCAGGTGACCTGGCTTGGTAACCATGATGGATGTGATAGCTTTGCACACTGCCGGCTCTTTGAGCCGGGAATGCTCTGAAGGCTTTCCAGGCATCAACTATTTCTCAGAGCAGCTGGGCAAACTGAGGCCCATGGGTGTAACGTGCCAGAGTCTGACGGCCAGAGAGCAGGCAGAGTGGGGAGTGAGCTCATGCAGCCCGACAGGAATCAGGATGCTGCACCGCGTGCTCTGGGGGACTTGGCGTGGTTGGGGAGTGACGTGGCCAGGGCGACAGCAAGCACAGCCCCTCTCTGGGCCTCTGGCTGCTTAACATGTGGCAGCAGTGGCTGCTCTGTCCACCCGCCACCAGTGCCTGTCACTGCCGCAACCCTCACAGATGGGGCTGCCCTGGCGCAGGACATGGGAGGTCAGAGGCATCCCCTTGAGCGGTGACTGCTGCAGGCAGGTCCTCTCCATGGGGACTCGGTGCTGGCCAGCTTGCCTGTGAAGGCGCACAGGGACACTAGGGGCTCTGGGTGCGTACGCCATGACCTGACTGACCTGGGGGCAGGCACAAGGCCTGGTCATCCCTGTTTCCTTAGTCCTTGATCTCAGGCCAGCAGGGCTCTTGTGCCACTGGAACAAACACTGGATGGGGAGTCTCGGCTGAAGGAAGACTGTGGCCGAGAGACACCAGGTGACGCACTGCAGCTGGGACCAGAGCCCAGTCCCCTTCCTCAAACTCTCGGAACGTCAGAGGCTCCTGGGGCTTCCTCCAGGGCCCCAGCCACGGCCCATTGTGGGTCTCCGTGGGCTGGGGCCGTGTCCGTGGCATGTGCTCTCCTGGGTGGATGTGCGGGTGCAGATCTGGGCAGCTGCTCTCAGGGCCCCTGCTGCAGGAGCAATGACATGCGGCCACGGAGCGGGGAAGCCCCCAGGGCCTGCCTCCTCGCAGCACGGTGTCTCGGGGTCGCCGCTCGGCTCTGCGCTGCGAGGGCCGTGGAGAGTGGGTGGGCGTCCCGCTGCCCTGCTCAGTCCAGAACGCGGAGTCCTGCTTCTCCCGCCGCCCGGCCCAGCACCCTCCCAGGGGGCTGCCAGCACTCGCCTGTCTCACCTGGACTCGAACACCCACCGCACCTCATCCCAACCTTCCTGGCGCAGGGGCTCTCTGGGAGCTGTTCCTGGGTCTATCTTTTGTTTCTGCAGGCCCAGAGAGGACTCAAGCCCGAGTCCTCCTTAGCTCGGAATCCCCAAGTAACAATGGCAATAGCAATACCAACAGCAACAGCCAGCCCGCCCTGGAGCTCCACCCCTCACGTGGATGTGGGCGTGGCCATGTGGCTCTGTCTGACCCCTAAGCTCTGGCAGAGTGGACAGCCAGCTGCTGGGGCCCGACTAGGTGTGGCTGGCCACAAGGGCCTCAGTTCCAACAGAGCCACTGTTACCTGAGAGGGGCTGGACTAGGCCCCAGGCCCTCCAGGGGCTTCACCAGGGAAGGGACAGGGCAGGGCCTGCCACACTGCACAAACTCAAACACAGGCCCAGCCCTGCAGCCTGCAGAGGCCCAAAGCAGTCGAGTGACGTCAGCTGCATTTCACAAGGCCACTGGGAAAACCAGTGGTTCTCAACCAGGGCTGATCTTGCCCCCCAGGGGACATCTAGCAATTTCTGGAGCCATCGATGACTATCCATTCTGGGGAGGAACTACTGGCATCCAGCGGCAGAGGCCAGGGAAGCTGCCAGCCCTCCTGCTGTACCCAGGACAGCCCCGCAGCAAGGGCTCACTTAGTCCCAAATCAGTCGTGCCGAGGTTGAGAAGCCCTGGGTTAAACCCTCATGCTGGCGACTGGCAATGGATTTCTGATTTTTTTTACTATGGAAAAAAAAATGACAAAACAAAAGCAAAGGGAAAAATCCAACTAAAAAAGAAAAAGAATAAGCCGGATCTGAGAACTGAGCAAGCCGAGGGGCAGTGCTACTGGTGGGCAGGCACCGGCCAGGAGTCCTGGGCAGGCGGCGCCTGAAGCAGTGTGGGGCAGGGCGGGCAAGCCCCCAGCGCCCTGGGGACAGTGGCCCATCTCTGGCTTCAAGGGTCTTCCCGACAGACAAGCACGTCAGGCCCCTAGGGTGGGCAGAGCTCTCGGTCCGGAGCCTGGAGCAGCGGCATAGCAAGCAGCCCGCGGGTGTGCCCTGCCAAGAGGGAGGCCGGGGGAGGCTGTGGGAGAAGCTCCCGGCCCCAGTAAGGTGCCCCACCCCTGGAGATCCGGGAGGCCTGGGGGTGCAGCTTGCCTGGGGGTTACACGGCTGGCAGCAAGTTAAACACACACAGAAACAAAGAAACAACCGCTACGGTCACAGTCCCCACTGGGCCTTTTCCCAGCACCCCTGGGGCTGGAGGGAGGCCCTACAGAGACAGCAAGGCCTGGGACAGCGGGAAGGGGCTCCAGACAGTTAAGGGGCTTCACTCAATTTCATTCATCAGCATAAAACACAGGGACGCAGCAGCACAGAGAGCACGGGACACACCCGCCCAGCTCGCTCCGTGTTCAAGCGAGCGACTTCCAGAAAATAAACAAACAAATAAATAAAACCCTCAAAAGAAGAAAGGGAAAATGGAGGTGACTTCCCTGGCTGTTTTGCGTAGGGTGCCTTTCCTTCTGACGACAATTTGGTCGCGTTTTCCTCTGCCTTTTGGGGATGCCCTTTCTGTGCGGTTGACGCTGCTCTGGTTTGGGGACGGCCCCTCCGTGCAGCCCTGGAGCCGCCGGCTCCCCCACCAGCCCTTCCCGCAGGCGGCGACCGCGGACGCCCTATCTCAGTCCCACGTGCACCGCGCTAGGAAGGCGGCTCCGGGCCGCGCTCTTACCCGCTTCGGAGAGGTCCCTCAGGGAGCTGCTGAGGGCGCTGCGCTTGAGGCCCTCGCCGCTGGCGTAGCTGTCGTCCAGGCAGGCCCGGCTCAGCGTCCCGTTTCCTGACTCCTTTTTGAGGCTGGAGCACTGGGATATGCTGGGCCTCACGACACCCTTCTGCTTCTCTAGCTCCGCTGGAACAGAGAGGGTGAGGGGCCTGGTGAGGGGAGCACAGCCTGGAGCGGTGGGAGACTGGGGACCACACAGCCTTCTGCTTAGGGCCAGCACCGCCCCTAGCCACCATCTGCCCGAAATGGGGGAGGGGTAGTTTCGGGAAAGGGGGGGGTGTGACGGCTGCCCTGGACAAAGGGAGCAGAAAGCAGAACCTAGGAGGGAGGCTGGAGGGGCCTTGTGACCTGCAGGAAAGACAGTCACCTCCCAGGCTCAGGGCCGGGCAGGGAGGCAAAGACTTGCCTGGGGCTGGAGATAAGCAAGGGTCAGCCAGGCCCTTCCACAGCCTGTGCAGAGGTGGGGACACCCGTATGCCTCCAGGGAGCAGACCTAGAGCCAGGGCACGGCTTGGCTGTGACACCATCCATCGCTTGCGCCTGATTCAGAAGACGACTAACAGTGGTGCTGAAGTGCAAGGCGCTCAGCTCCAGAGCTCTGGAAGTTCCTGTCTATGGGGTGGCCAGGGAACGGCGGGGGGCTCCCCAGGACATGCGATGTGCTCTGACCAGCGGGACCCTGAAGCCCAGGCTCTTATCAGCCACGGCCTCGAGCTCCGACCTGCCCCGACCCGTGCCTCCTTCTGTGGCCTGGGCATGCAGGCAGCCCTGCCATGTGGTCATGGGAGGAGTGCCTGAAAAGACTGGGGGACATCATGTCTCTGGGGGCTCAGGAGTCACTGGCATCATCAGCCTTGGACCACCGTCACTGCCAGGAGAGAGGGAGGCAAACGCCGTGCCCAGTGAGTCCTGGCCTTCCCGGTTACCGGCGCCTCCTTGCCCCAGAGTCCTGGGACTTACACTCTATCCTGTGCTTCTCCATCTCCTGCACTTCTGCAACGGACTCCCGCAGGTCATCAGTGAATTTCTTCCGGTCTTGAGGATTGGGGGCATTGAAGTTTATTAACACTTTGATGTCTGCTCCGGGGACAGCTGATGTGAGCCGGATGCCGTTGGGGTAGTCTGCAAAGGGGAAGGAGGGGGTGAGGCCCCCAGGTCTCAGGGTGTTCCCTGCAGCCTCCTGCCTGGTCGAGAGAACAGGGAGAGGCCCCAGAGGCAGGCCTCAGGGCCCTCATCCTTCCCAGACCTGAAGGTCATGGAGACCGTTACTGCAAGCCTGTTGGCCACTCTGCCAGGTGCCAAGTCCCAGACAAGGCCAGAGGAGGTGTTCTGAGCTGGGTTGGGGCCTCTTATCCAGTCACCCTGGACGATTCTGGACAACAGAGCAAGCGCTATTCTCTCCTGAGTGGCCTCCAGCCCACAGCTCCCTTGTGATACACTGTGGGCACCCCACACCCTGTGCCCCGGTCTGCCTGGTGCCACCTCCAGGCCCCCCGGGGTGGGGGGTTGTTCCTGGGGCTTTGGTCTCATGGCAGTGCCACTCCCGAAGTAGGAGTCACCTGCCTGAGCAGGTAAAGGCTCTTGGTCAGAAGACCAAGCCCACCTCTGCTCAGACCAGGGCCAGCCAAGGCGGGGAGCAGCTGCAGAGCGCTGGTGTGAGTGTGTGAGCACAGGCAGCCCGTTACTGCCACGTGGAAACACGTGCCCGGGATGCCACGCCTGTGATGCTCAGAGAAGCCCCAAATCTCTAAATTTTAATATGAAGATTTAAACATGGGTGCAAGAAAAAATTTTTTTAAATGTACAAACCACATAAAACATAACTGAGCGGGGACTGTCCCCAGGCTCCCATTTTGAGACTGTGGAGGGAAGGCATTTCCTATGGGTACTGTAGGTGGGCTCTTGCCAGCACCTAGTGTCCAGGATCTAGGGCTGCGCCCCGGCAATCTAGATGGGGCCAGGTGCAGCCTCTGCCCCGAAGACCCCCGGCTGTCCTGGCTACCGCCGGGAGCTTGCTGCCAGGACCTCCCTAAGTTTTTGCCCCACCATTTCAGAGAGCAGCTGCCACTGGTCGGGACGACGCAGGGATGGTGCCACCTCCCCTGGTACATGTGTGGGACACTGAGGCAAGGCATGGGTGGGTGGACAGCGCAGGAAGTGGGGAGATGGCCGGGGCAGGCAGCCTGGGCTCCCTGAGGGCATGTGAGGAGAAGGGCACAGGTGCTGCTGCTGGCTGCTCCTCGGTCCCACTGGGGACAGGAAACACAGCAGAGAGCCCCAGCTCCAGGATCCTGGGCCTGTGTTTTGGATGGTCCAGCTGTAGGTTCCTGACACTTTTTTAGCTTGCAGATGGAAAGCTGATCACACAGATGGTGACAACCCCTCCCAAGAGGATGGGGGACCCCTGCTGCTCACGACACGGACACTCCACGTCAGTATCGTCCCCTTAGGCCTCTCCAGAGTGTGCAAGGCCACAGCCCCCCCCATCCCAGGACTGGCTCAGCCTGTGGCACAGAGGCCTCCAATAGGGAAGGGACAAAGGAGGGGCAAAGAGAAGGGGTGGGTAGAAGGAGCAAGGTCAAAAGAAAAGGCCAGTGTGGGTGTTGCAGGTGTGAGCCAGCTGCCCCCAAACTCCCAGGCTTCCTGGCCTCATGCACAGCTGACAGGGCCCCGAACCCCGAGCGGGTCTTCCAGCAGCACCCGACGCTCACTGAGCGCGCCCTGGGCTTTCACACGGAAACACTCACTCCCTCTTTGGGGCAACTCTATGAGGCAGGCACTACTGTCACCCCCACTTCACAGACCAGGAACCAGAGGCCAGAGAGGCTAAGGGAGCGGACCTCACGTGGCCAGGCGCTGGAGCCGGGGTCTGAACCAGGCAGCCGGCTCGGCTCTGGGCTTCCGCAGTCACTGGGGGATTGCCTCCACCTGTCTTTGGGCCATATTTGCATATCACCTGTACTGGCAATGTTTTTCTATCAAAATTTGACTTAAATAGGCCAGGCACGGTGGCTCACGCCTGTAATCCTAGCACTCTGGGAGGCCAAGGCAGGTGGATTGTTTGAGCTCAGGGGCTCACGCCTGTAATCCTAGCACTCTGGGAGGCCGAGGCGGGTGGATTGTTTGAGCTCAGGAGTTCGAAACCAGCCTGAGCAAGAGCGAGACCCCGTCTCTATTAAAAATAGAAAAAATAAGCCAGGCATGGTGGCGCATGCCTGTAGTCCCAGCTACTCAGGAGGCTGAGGCAGGAGGATCGCTTGAGCCCAGGAGTTTGAGGTTGCTGTGAGCTGGCCTGACGCCACAGCACTCTAGCCCGGGCAACAGAGTGAGAGTCTGTCTAAAAAAAAAAAAAAAAAAAATTGACTTAAATAAATTCATTTCTGCCATAAATTAAAATATCACTCGCAAGAAGCTGAGGTAACAGGAGAAGTGAAGCCAGTGGGCACCTGCGCGACGCGACTGAATTCTCCCTCCTGCCTGCGCCCCGTGGCGACGTGGGAAAGAGCGCGCCAGCCCCCGGGCCGCCCCCGGCAGCCAGGAGGACGAAGCCTGCGCTGGCAGAGAACACTCTTCCAGGCAGGCCCCGGGCAGACTTACACTGGTTCTCGAAGAGCAGGACCTGCATTCCGTACAGGGAGAAGGACTGTCGGAAGCTGTACGTCACTGAGTTCTTCTTCTTTTGGAAGATCTTGGTGACCTGGGGGCAACCAGAGACAGCTCTGAGCTGCAGCACTGTGGCAGCGACTGTGTGTGATCTCTAGCCCAAGGACCCTTCTGGGAGTTCGGGCTCAGGAGGCCAGGGGCAGGGACAAGCCACCCTAGGGCAGAAGGTGTGTGACCTTTCACGCATGAACTTGGACTCTGGTTGCTGTCCCTGTGAGCCCTGGTGCCATCCTGGCTGGCAACAGAGCCCCATGACCTGGCTGAGAGGTGGCAGGCGTATCCCTGCACACAGCCCTGCAGGTGCCTTCTCACAGCCAGGTGAGGTGCACACACCTGGGACTTGGGACACTGGAGGGCAGGAGTGGCAGTCGGTGCTCAGCAGCGCTGACCTTAGGAGGAGGCGTGGCTTCCTCTCTCGGGAACAACCAGAGCATGAAGCCACCACTGGGGCTGCACTGCAGCGAGCCCAGCCCCGGGCTAGTGACGGAATCCCCTGCCACATCTAGAGCCCTGCCATGGTCCTCGGCTGCTACCCTGGTTGGCAGGCGAGGGAAGGAACTTTCCAGCCTGGCAGGCAAAGGCCGGGCTGGAGGGGAGAGGGGAGCTCCCATCTCTCCCGTGCCCAGGGCTCGCCAGTGCCACGTGAGGGTCTGTCCAGGTCTCGCCCTCAGAGAGGCTCATCTGACAGAGGAGACAGGCTCAGAGATGTGAGGTGACTTGCTCGAGGGCAGGGGCTCTCAATAAAGGACGTGAACCCAATGTCCGAATTTCAGCCTCAGCAGTCAGAGAGGAGTAGCCAGTCCTTACATCCGATCAGGCCCGTGGGAATCGGGGACAAGGGCCTCCGGCAAGAAAGCCTGTGGCATGCAGGAGGGACAGAAACCCACTGACAGTTCTCCCTTCTGTCTGCAGTGGGCATTTGTATCCCCACCTGGCTAGCACCCATGCCACCTGCTTTCAGTCCCTTAGTCCTGGGGACGGGACTCTTTCCCAGACCCAGGGGTGGGGCTCGTGGCCCAGGCTTGGCCAACCAGGAAGCGCTGAACCTGCCTGGCCAGGTGACTGGCTTGGGGAGAGGTATGTGCAGCAACCAGGAGTAATCCTGAGACCTTTAATTCTCAGTCTTAGGAAGAGGATTCTACTGGTTGCTGAATAGAGAGGGTCAGGCCTGCTGGAGCTGCTGGGGCCGTCCTTCCCTTCTCGCCTGCAGAGGGGCCACACAGGAAGAGCCTGTGCAGCGCAGGGGTGCAGATGACAGAAAGGAGTCCTGCTGGCTTGCTGGAGGCTCTGCAAACAGCTGGGACTGACGCCAAAAATCTCCCTCTGGACTTTTACACAAGCCAACGAAGTCTTGTTTTCATGTGAATCCGTTTGAACTAAATTTTGTCCCTTGTAACCAAGACTCCAGGTGAATCCCCCTTCCCCAGCCCCAAGTGTGTGCACGTTTCACCACACGCAGACACACAGCCAGATGGAGATCCCAGGTTCCCAACACTGAGGCACTGGTCACGACGCCCTGTGGGTGAGTCACATACCACCAAGAGGTCGTTAAACAGGAAGATTTCTCGCTGGTGCAGTCCGAGCTTCTGGGGCTTGTTTGGGTCTGGAACCTCGAAGAGCCGGCAGTAGCAGACCAGCCGACGATGGGGCAGAGAGAGCACCTGTGTGGGCAGAGATGTCCTGCTGCAGCTGTCCAGCCCGCCTCCGGGGCCCTGGAGGCCGTGGCGGTAAAGTGCAGGCTAGAAACCCTTCAGGCTAGAAACCCAACCCACGGGCCTCCCGTGCAAAAGCGCCTTTTCTCACGAGCAGTGCAAAGCAGCGCCTTTTGGCTCACAGCAATTTTCCCCACTGTCCTCAGGCGTTGCAATTTAAAATCTCTCTCTACTCTCCTAAGGACTACAGGAAGCCCCTTCTTCTGCTGGGACTCCTTTTGATTCTTAAAACATCATGCTTACGAGGGAAGCCCTCACCAGAGAGGGAAGTCACGTTTTCTGGGTCCCCACACATGCCAATGACACACACAAGCCCGTCAGCCCATGTAAAAGTCCGCGGAGAGACTGCTCTGCAGAGGAAAGGGAGGTGCAGAGACTGCTTGCCAGAACCAGGAAGTTGCAGAGCCAGGGTCTGGCTCCAGGCCCCAGGATTGTCCCTCTACCAGGCCTGCCCCTCAAAGAATCCAAGGGCCCTGATGCCTGAAAGACCCTGTCCAAAATCGTGAGCCAGCTGCCAACACTCTGTGAGACCTGCCCTGAGCATCCCCACCACGGGGGGCACGAGGCCCCCCCACTCGCTATAGATTAAGCTGCCCTTGAAGCCTGACGCAAGGCGGTCGGTGTCTCCGGGCCAAGGGGACAAGCCATTGTCGGGGTTCGGGCCCAGCTCCAGGAGCACCCAGGTTCACACAGAAGGGACCAGGAGCCAGACCCTCACGGCAGGGGGTAGGGTGGGGGTGTGGCTCGTCCAGGCGCTCTGGCAAGGGCTGCTTACGCTTAGTGTGTTGGGGACGAGACGAGGAGAGGCGAAAGCATGGCCCAGCCTGACGTGTTCAGGGAGCAAAGTGAAAAGGGGGAGAGGATGGGAGGATGGGGGACGTGGCGCTAGGGGTGGGCCTCGGCAGGTGCAAGAGCGCCGGGGTCTCGGGCTGTCACTCGGGGAAGCTGGAGAAGGGGAGGGCGGCAGAGCGGTTTGTGGAGCTGAGGGATAAGGCCAGACCCTCAAGGGTAGGCCATGCGGCTGAAGCCAGCTGTGTGCACTCCGGGGCACGCAGGTGACCACAGGCAGTGGCAGTGGTGGGTCCTGGAGACGAGGGGTAGAGCTGGGAGAGCCTGGGCGCAGGGCGTGAGAACAGGAGCAGGCTGGGTGCATGGAGTGTGCATGGAGCAGTGTGGGGCAGTGGCGAGGCAGGGAGGGCCTCAGATGCCACCCTGGGGTCATCCATTTCAGGCGTGGTCTTGGGGCCTGGGTGCAACAGGGCCCGGACAGAGAGGGCAGGGGTCTGTCCATGCTCAGCCTGACAGTACAGCCTCCCCGTGTGGCTGCGGAGATTTGAGGCTGGGGTAATTATGAACATCAGATTCCTTAGTGCTCCAGAAATGAACTCGAGCAGCCGGAACTCTGGCTCTGGGAGCCTGGGGACGCGGGGTTGGCTGAGGCTGGCTGGGCCTCCCCAGGGCGGGTGGGCTATCAGCTGGAAGCAAAGAAATACTCACACAGCCGAGGCCATGATGGAGGGATCCAATCTACGGGAAAACATTAAACAAACAAAAAATGACATTAATGTTCCAAAAGACACACCTGGGCCCCTCCAGGGAGGGAAGGGGGTGATGCTGAGTCTTACAGCAGCAAGCACCCTCCCTCCTACATACTCCAGCCAGCCAGGGTGCAAGGGGACATGCGCTCCGGCAACGCTCTGAGGGAGTTCTGGCGGGATTCTTAGGCCACCAAAAAAAGCCCACCAGCGTCAGGGGGCCCACAGCCCTGTTAGTTCATTAAGAGCCTCGGGTTCTCTTCAAACATAACCACGGGCAAACGGCTGTTACTCCCAAGCCCTGCTGTGATTCACCAGCCCTGCCTGGAAGGGGCCTTGTTCCAGATGGCATCAGGGCCACTGGCTGGTGCTGTGAGCTGACCCAGGGTCGTACCAAGAGGGTGGGTCAGGGCACGAAGGCCTTGCAGGCAGCCCTGTGCTGGCCTCGGGCCCCCACAGCAGTCCCCGGGTGATGCCAGGGCCCACCACGTACCGGCTTCTTCCCCACAATGAGCTTCTCCACCTTCTGCACCTGGGACACGTGGTCCTCGTTGGTCTTCAGCTCTCGCTTGCGGATCCGTTCATAGATCCCGATCAGCGTCTCCCGGGGAATGTCCTCACCATCGTCCACACCTGGGCAGGGGATGGCGGCGAGATATCAGGGCAGGGTGGAGCTTGGGTGGCAGTGGCTTCGTTCCGCCTTAGGCCCCAGGCTCACCCTTCATCTACCACTTTCTAAAGCAAATCGGAAGACTGAACCTTTTGCCCGTCCTCAGCAGAACCAAAGCTCTTCCAGATGCACAGCTGCGGAACGTTTTAATGTCACGTTTCCTCAGAGCCCTCCCACCAGGAACAGGGCCCGCACACCCACCCTGGGCCGGCAGGTTACAGAGGGGTGCTGAGCCACCTGCTAAGTCGTGTTCAGAGCGTTCACAGCCCTGGGAAGTGGGGCAGTCGTCCCATTCCACAGATGGGAGCACTGAGGCTGGGGTTTGTGAGTTTGGGCTCTGAAAGATCCGGATCCAAGTCCTAGTTTTATTCCTTACTGGCTGTGTGACTGTGGGTGAGTGATCATGTCTCTCCCAACTTGGTGTCCTCTTTTGTGAAACAGGTCGTGAGGGAGCAAGGGAAGCCCGTGGCGTGGCCGGCTCAGCGCACTCGGGCGCTGTTGACACCACAGTGGTTCCTGTTGCTGTCCCACATCACGCAGGCAGAGGCTGGGGCCGGGATCTGACCTGGGGCTGCTCTAACTACAAGCACATACCCTTTCTTCTATACCACACTGAAAACTGCTGTGAGAAAAGCGAGACCTATCCTCACTCCTCCGACTGGCCAGACCAAGGGCGGCCAGGCTTGGGGAAGTGGGCCCTCCCACACACCATTGGCAGGAGGGGGAAATGGCCCCGCCCCGGGGTGGGCAATCTGGCAATGTCCATCCTAATGGTGAATTCTAACAGCTCTGGTCCACTGACTGCATTTGAGGAACTTATCCCATGGGAAATGAGACACATGCAAGGTTATTTATTGCAGCGTTGCTTTCAAATAGCAAAAGGCTAGAAGTAACCTGTGCACCCGTCAACAGGGGACTGTTAACCAATCATCATACACCAGAACAACAAACTACTTGCTATGCCTGGATATGGGGATTTCTCTTAGATTTGTTAAATGGGAAGAGCAAGGTGCAGAGTACGAGAACTTGAAACCATCCATGCACGTTTGTACCTGCTTGAGTAGAGAACTAGCAGGTCCATCAGGAACCAAGCGCTGAAGACCTCCAGGGGCACAGGGGCAGGGGGGAGGGGAACCCTGCTATGGACTTCTAGTACTTTCTGTTTGTTTGTTATTTTCTTTAAATAGACTTTATTTTTAGAACAGTTTTAGGTTCACAACAAAACTGAACAGAAGGTACAGAGATTTCCCATACACCTCCTGTTCCTACACGCACAGTTTCCCTACCGACACCCCCCAGAGTGATCCATGTGTTAGAATCCGCGAACCCGCGCGGACACACCACCGTTGCCCAGCACACGTAACTTGCACGGAGGCTCGCTCCTGGCGGTGGACATTCCACAGGTCTGGACAAAGGAGGATGACACGTACCCACCATGATGGCGTCACACGGCACAGTGTCACTGCCTCAAAAAGCCTCTGGGCTCTGCCTGTTCATCTTTCCCGCCAGCCCCTCGTCTTTTTACCGTCCCCCTGGTTTTGCCATTTGCAGAGGGCCTCATGGTTGGAACTGTACAGTCTGCAGCCTTCTCAGACTGGCTTGTTTCACTGTGTCATGGCTGATGGCTCACTGCCTTCCAGCACTGAGTGACATTCCATGCCGGGGCGCACCACAGGTGATGCGTCCCTTCCCCTGACAAAGGACATCTTGGTTGCTTTTGAGTTTTGACAAGTACGAATGAGGCTGCTATAAATATCCACATGCAGACTTTCATGTGGGCCTGTTTCCAGTTCATTTGGCTAAATGCCAAGGAAGGCAATTGCTGGACTGGATTACTTTTTGGTTTTCAAACTATGTGAAGATAATATCCATTCAAAAAATAAATTTTAAAATTTAAAAATAAACTTTAATAAAAGGGAAATACTCCATCTGGCTTCCATGCTGGTGAGCTATTCCTCCTACATCCATCCTCAAACCCCAGGGGCTCTCCTGCTGCGGGGCCCACCAGCCACACCGGAGTGCGAGCAGTTCCAGAGCAAACAGCCTTGGCGTGGGGTGCGGATCCCCCTCTGCCAAGAACAAGCTGGACGTGCGCACGGCCCAGAGCGCCAGCCGGGAGCAGGGAGACCAGGACCCTGTGCCTGTGCCGTTCACTTGGTGTGTGACCCTGGGCAAGTCCCTTCCTTCCCTGAGCCTTGTTCGCCCCTTCTGAAACACAAGAAAAATAAGGCAGAACATAACATCCCTGGGTCCTTGGCTTGAAAAGAGGTGATTTGGAGGTAACGGCCCAGGCCTGGGAGACAGAACCGGCAGCTTGGTTCTTGAGATCGGGGTGTTCAGTCCCTGCCCTGGGAAGGAGGGATGTTAATGCCACCCTGTCCCCCAGACTGTGGGGACAACAGGGTGCAGCGAAGACCACGGCACACACAGCCATTGCCCTGAGGGCGGCTGAGTGGCAAACGCTGGACGCGGCATGCCCACCCCCTCAGCTTCTCCTCAGGGGGCTCCTATCGTTTCTTACAGAGGGGAGTCCCGGCAGCACACAGCGCACAGCGGCTCTCCTGACAGTGACAGAGGGGCTGGCCGCCATCGGGGTCATGTGGGAGTCTGTGAACACAGACTTGGCCCAGCAGGGAGAGGGCTCGGGGTAGGAGAGGCCCAGGGTGGATGAGAGGAGGCCGACACCAGCCTCCGGCTCCCACTTAGACACAGGCCTAGGAGCGTGTCCCCTGCACCCTCAGAGTCTACGGACCACCCCGCCCGAGGGACAACTGGCCACTGACGAGTTCCCGGGAACTACAGACTCAGCCTACTCTGGGGCCTGCGCTGCCCCTCTGGCCTGGCAGAGGGTCACCCGCTTAGCGCAGGGAATGGCCCGTCCTGAGCTCTGGGCCACACCCGGGCTGCTGAGCGCCTGCCCCGCAGGAGATGGGGGGCCCATTCAGGTCTCCTGGTGGCCGCTCTGCTGCCGTCACAGCCCAGCGGGAAGCCCCAGGGGAGGCGGAGATGCTCCCAGCGAGACTCAGCCTGGGGACGGGGTGATGAAGCTACAGTTTGATAAAAATAAAGAAGAATGAACAACTTAAACGGCTCAACAAGCTTATAAAGTTGGACTTGACTCAGACTAGCTTTTATTCCTTTTTTAGAAAATATGAGACCATTTCCAAAGGGCCCCCAGTGCATTTCCTTCACATCTCCCCTCGGCCCTTGCGGCCAGTGCGTCCCACGGAGAGGGAGGGACATGATCCCTCCTCTCCTTCCTTCCAGGAACTTCAGGGACATGGCTTTGCTGACACGGAGCCCCCGGTCGCGCCCTCTCAGCTCCTTTCCTGTCTCCTGCTTACCCAGCAGAAGGCCTGGCTTCTGCTACCCGTGTCGCCGGCACCGCCCAACACGCGCCTGTTCCCCTGAAGGCCAGGAGAAGAGCCGCGGCCTCAGCCGGAGCCGTGGGCCAGAGCGTCACAGTGCTGCTTCCCTTCCACCGGGCTTGTTTTTATAATGGCCTCCTGCATGTGGAAACTGCTACTATTTTTCCATTTACAGTGATGACATAAGGTTCTCCTTTTACATACACACACTGATGTAAAAAAACCACAGACAGAATGGCAAGTCAGTTTCGTCCTTCGAGGACAAGCTAACATCCTCACCTCCCCCAGGAGAGAGGTTTCCGGACACGCTTGAGACCAGGCGTGTGTCTAGCAGCCTGTGCCCCCCGGGCACACCCCCGAGCCAGCGCTCAGTGCTCTTGCTGGTAACCCGTTCTGTGCTCCCAGAGGCCCAGCTCTCCAGCACGAGGCTGTCACACACTCCTCTCAGCCCACACCTGGCGCTTCCCGGCCCGGGCAGGTGCTCGAATGAGTCTGTGGGATGGCCAGCACCGGGGACAGCTCACCTCGGAGGTTCTTGACGAAGTCCTCCAGCTTCATCTTCCTCTCGGGCTTGACGTTGGGGCTGTACATGTCCGTGTTGAGCAGGATGATGGCGAAGGCCAGGATGAAAATGGTGTCTGGGTTCCGGAACTGCCGCACCACCCCGGGGTTGCAGATGCAGTACCGCTGGCTGGGGCCGGGGGGAGAGGGTCAGGCCACTGTGCGGGAAGGGAGACTGCTCCTCGCGCGTGCGGGGCGCCAGCCACCAGCCAAGGACGTCTAAGCCTCAGCTCCCGCGCGTCTGCCCTTTCGCTTAGCTGTGGTCCCTCCCATCTCGATTCTCGTTGTGCACGTGGCCGCCCAGGGGGAGGACTACATTTCCCAGCTGCCTGGGAGCTCGGAGAGGCCACTCGACTATGTTCAGCCCACAGCACGTGAGCAGACCTGACGTGGGCACCTGCCAGTCTGGGGCCCTGTCCCCCTGCCTGGAAGGCGTACGTCAAGGTGGGTGCTGGGCCTGCCCTCCAGGACTCTGCGGTCAAAGGGGCCCGGGCCGCCTCCACGCCAGCACAGAGGGAAATGTACTTTGCCTTGTCTCAGCTGTGGCTGCTGGGGGACCTTTGCTACAACCGCTGAACTCACGGCCTCGCTGATGCACCCGCCTCATCGAGTCACCCACTTACCATTCCCACTGCACCCCCAGGAGCCCTCTTCACTGGTAACCCCGTGGAGGGGCAGGGGCGGAGCACCGTTACGGAGGCTGCGCGCCAGCAGAGGCTGCAGTTCAGTCTCCCCCATCTGGGGGCCCGGCTTAGTGCCACCCCCTCCAGGAACCAAGGAGCTGAATGCCCTGCCCCCGCCAGACCCTGGGGTTGTCCTGCTTCTGCGTCCTCGATCCTGTCTGCCCCACCACCCGTGCTGAACCCAGGGCCAGGTCGGCAGCTGTTCCACGCCCCCCGCACAGTACCAGCGTGGAGGCTCCCACACAGCCAGGGCTGCAGCCCAGAACGAACATGCAGCAACGGGCAACACTGATTAGGCCAGGTCCTGGCTCCTGACTGTCCTCATCCCTCCCCAGGGCACTACATGCTATCATTATCCCCACTTCACAGGTGAGGAAGTGAGGCACAGAGAAGTTAAGTAACCAGCCCAACGTCACACGGCTGGTAAAGGGGTAGAGTCAGTGACTGAACCAGGCCATCTGGCTGTACGGCTTGTGCAGAGTTACTGTGAGAGACGCCCTGTGAATGAGCACATGAATGACCAGACAGACCGATTCACGAATGGACGGACGGCTAACGAGGACTAGGAGGAAGACAGTGTTCGGAATCCTGATCTGAAGAGTCAGAATCCCAGCAGTCGTGATCTTAACCTCTTTCAACATGGTTTCCTCATCTTCAAAATCAGAATAACAAGTACTGTCTCCCCTCCACCCTGCCCCCACCATGGCTGTAAGGAGCCCAGCACAGTGCTGGGACACAGGAGAGGCCACTGTGATCACCCCGAAAACAACACTCAGGGACACCAGACCCTGCCTAGGTGGAGGGGCTGAAGGGGGATCCAGCCCTTGGTCCATCCTCAGGCCTTGTATCTGGGAATTCTCCCTCGGGAGGAGGCACACTCCCCCCCGCCCACCCCACCACGCAGGGCCCCAACCTGAACGCCTCGATGAGCCGCTCCACTTTCTGAGCCTCTCCTTGGACTCGGATGTGCGCCTGGAACTTCCTGAGGGCCTCGTCCAGCTCCATAGCAGAGAAGTCCATCTCGTCCACCACGCAGCTGGAACACAGACAGCCCATGGAAGTGGCCTTGGCCTGTGGGGGTGCCACACCCAGCTTTCTGCCTTTCCACCGGGTGACGTGAGCATTGAGTCTCCCCGGCACGGGGCGTCAATGAGCCGGCGCCCCAAGAGCCCACAGGAACAGGCTGGCTCTTGGCAGGGAAGGTCCTCTGCGTGGCTGCCTCCGATCAGCTGGGAGCACTGTGGAGTACGTCAAAAGGACCCCCAGGCTCCCGGGAGCCCCGAAAGCCTGAAACTGTAGGGAGACTCCCGCGCTTGTGTCCGTGTGTGCAGTTCTGCACGGGGGGCCGGGGCGTTCGGTAATTCTGGAGCAGGGCCCTTTCCGACAGACACGTGTAACCATAGCCACCACATGCGCCAGACGTGGCCGTGAGAGCCTCCTCTGCTTCTGCGAGGAGGTGGGAATTTGCTCCCATTTGCATGACAAGGAGATGGGGGCCCAGGGCACCAAATGTCCACTCAAGTCGAGGGCATGGGGGTAGAGGGCTGGGTTTTGCAGGTGCTTTTCCAGGGCACCTTGGAGGGGCTGTGCCACCCTCATCTGTGGAGCAGAGCTGGGAGAGGTGTTGGTCAACGGTTTCCTCATGGCCCTGCCCCCAGCCCCTCTAGTGGTGACCCCGAACAGAAGGTGGGGTCTGCGCCAGGAACCTGAGGGCAGAGACGTTTCCCACCCGCTGGCTCTGGCACTGGGTTTTCCTCTGTAACGAATCCATTATCAGTCCCACTGGGCCGGGGGCCCTGACTCCACTCCCAGGCCACCGCTCTCCTGGGTGATGAGCTTGGGCGTAGCTCTGGCTACCCCCACCCCGCCGAGAGCGCACGTCTTCCTGGCGCAATGGCCTTGGAGGTGGCTGCAGAGCGTGTGGGGACAGGGCAGCAGCGAGCCCGAAACGAGGACCCTGACGCCTCGCACCCGGCAGCTGTGCCGCCGTGCCTGGGGTGGTGGGCCGGGGGGCCTCGCCGCTTCCTGAGGCCACTGCTATTTTCTGACTGAAGGAGAACAATGCCCGGATTTCCTGCGGCCTGGAACAGGCTTGGAGGGCCGTAAGGCACAGGAACGGCTCAGGGGCTTGAGGGCAGGAGCCGAACCGACTGACCAAGGGGCTGATCTGCCTCTCTGAACTGTCTCCTGCGGCTTAAAAGAGGGGGAAGGGCAAGCAGCACGCGCACAACACAGTGCTTTCTCCAGGCGCGGCAGGAACACAGGTGCGGAGCAGGGAGAGCGCAGCGCAGCCGGCGCGCTCGGCCAAGGAAGGGCACGGACGTCCTGCCGGTGCCTGCCACGCGCCAGCCAGCCCCACGGTCCCGGCTCCCTTTGCCTTGTGTGTGTCTGAGTGTGTACGTGTGTGTGGGGGTGTGAGTAATACATACGTGCGTGCGTGAGTCCGTGTGTGTTGGGGGCGCACCCAGGCCAGCCCCTTCCCCTGAGCCTTGGTGTCCTTGCTGTGAAGCCAGGAGGGCACGGCCCCCGCCGCCCCCCAGGACGCAGCAGAGAAGGCAGGCACACACGTGCTCCAGAGACTGCTGTTCCTGGGTGCCCGTGAAGGGACCACTCTTGTTATCGGAAGCTTAGCTCTTCAGCCTTGACTTCTCCTCCTGCCCTGCTGGCCTGGGTCAGGAAGATCCTCAAACGCAGGGCCTGGGTGAGTCCCCGCGGCCCCGCAGGCAGAGCCAGTAGGCCCCCTGTTCTGAGCCGGACTCCCACTCCACTAGCTCTGGCTTCTTCATCTCTCAATAACGACACCAGCGCCCACTCTGTGGGGAGAGGACGCTATGGGGCCTTTTTCATGGTACCTGCTTGGTAACTAAGGATCTGTCCGTGGTTGCCTTTCTACTCAGGACAGTGTGCAAGGGGGAGGGAGAGACAGAAGGTAAATACCAAACTAGCAATGCCTGGGAGCTAGGAACCCACGTTTCTGCAGGGTCTGCTCCCTGGGCTCGTGGGGCTGTGGGATCCGGAGGTGGAGGTTGGACTGTCACCCCCAAGTCTCTCAGCCAGGAGAACAAGGCAGGCGCAGAGCTTGGTGTGGGCTGCCCACCCACGGTGGCAGTGGGATGAGCAGGCCAGCTCCCTTCCCACTCTCCTGGGGGCAAGTCAGGCAGAGGCAGGGGGGCCCAGACTTCCAGCTGCCTGCTCCTGCCAGTCCTGCCACGCAAGGCCATGTGAACGTGGGTCACTCAAGAGCTGTGACCACTTGGTGCCGGGCTGGATCGACCATGTTGTAGGCAGGGGCTGGAGGCGCTGAGGGTGTGTGCCAGAGGCGGCGGGTAGGCAGTGGGGTCCGTGTGTGAGACAGCCCGTGTGAGGGCGGGTGCCACATGTGTCAGGCAGGGTGTGGGGTGCGAGTCTGTGTCCACGCATCTCGGAGCCAGGAAGAGGGAAGTGGACATTCACCATATGTCCCAGCACAAGGCACGCCTGACCCCGTGTGTGTATAACACAGGGGACGTGCAGAAGCGTGTGGAACCGGGCCCCATGCTTACTGCCATCCAGAGCCCCCCGAACTCACTCGAGCACGTCGCGGTTGAATTGCTTCTGCCGGTTGCCCAGGAACTCGCCAATCATCTGCCGGCTGAGGCCCTTGCGCTGTAGCAGGAAGTGGGCCACCCCCACTGGCGTGTCTGGCACGAAGCCACGCTCGATGAGGTACTGGACTCCCTTCTCTGGCTTCCTGGGGGTGGGACGAGAAGCACGCTCAGCCCTGGCTGCCCAGCACCCTGGGCTTGGTGGGTGGTCAATGTCTCCCCTCTGTGCTCCCCAGCACCACAGCCCAGGCCCCCGCCCTATTCCTCCATCTCCACAGGCACCGGGGTCTCTAGTCCTGCCTCCCACTTGGGTGGAGACTGACAGCCCAGGCTGGCACTGGGAGACCCTGGGCTCCAGGCATCCTGTCCTGTCCCACCCCAGCACTGAAACGTGGGGGGACCCGGTGCACCACCCAGACCTTGTGCCAAGTACGGGCAGGGAGGGCTGCAGAGGGACCTTCACTCCCTGCCCTGCCTACAGTCTCTCCTTGGCAGCCTGCACTGGCCCCGAATGCCCACGCACACACACAGAACCGGGTTCCCTGCCTCGCCCCACTCCCTGCTCCCCTAGGTGTGGAAGTACTGGGCAGGTGGAGCCCTCCACTCAACAGACGGTAATACCGCAGCATCCCAGGACGAGTGCACGCTGCCGCCGTCACTGTCCAGGCGCCCCACACGCACTCGGCGAGTTCTCACTCTGAGCTCAGCACTCCAGTTACTTGCAGTGCTCGGGGCCCAGACCCGGAAGCCCGACAGCTACATAGCCTTGCCCAGGGCCTTAACTTGCCCCGTTGTAAAAACTCACTGAGTCAGTACAATGAGATGCCTGTAACAATGTGTTCAGTACGGCTGAGCCCCATTTGCAGGCAAGGAATGGGGGTGCAGAGAGGCAGGGGTCCTACCCAGGGCCATGGCACTGGCCTTGCAGGGGGGAGGGCAGCTGGGCTGGCCCTAAGTGTGTCCACCAGAGACTGGACCCCAGGAGCATGGGGCTTTCCATCAGCTCAAGACTCTTGGTGCCCAGTGTGTGCAGAGCCAGGCCTGGGTAGGGCGGGCGTGCAGCCCACGTCATGGGCTGACGGGGCCCAAGCACACCACCCCTGCAGCTGGCCAGCTGTCTGAGGGCCAGGTAGGGCCCAGGAGGCTGTAGGGGCATCGCACTGACCCTGCTGCTCACACCAGACCCCAGGAGAAGGCCCTGCCTCGTGTGGCACTCCAGCCATGTGCGTCCGGGTGCAGAACTCTGACTTTCTGTCTTGTGGGGGGTCTTGCACTTGGCTGACATGGCAAGGAGGTCCTGGTGGTCAAAGGAGCCAGGGTGGTAAGAGAGGGCTTTGAAGACGGCCACATGTGACTCTCAGAGGACAGGTGGCCTCCTCAGCAAAGCTCACCAGGCCACTCAGGGAGCTGTGTAGAGTCCCTGGGACCAGACTGTGTCATCAGGCCAGACTGGCTCCCTGCTCTTCTGTCCCAAGTCCTCAGTCACTGAGGGCCACCAAGTAGTTGGGTATCCCCTCTAGGAACATCATGCTCCCTCAAGAGTCAATGCAGGGCCGAGCGTGGCCTGGACCCCACTATCCCCATTGTACACCCAGCACCAGGTCACCCACTAACTGCACGGAGGTCAATGTTCTGTGCCCTGGTGGGAGGAATAGAGGAGAAGGCCAAGGCCAGTGTCCACCTGCCTCCAATGAGCTGTGCAGCTCCCGGCTGACAGCAGTGCCCCGCAGATACTGTATTTCCACGTGCGAGCAAAGCAAACCTCCTGGTTGCAAGGTGACCTTGCTATTTTTACTCCAGGATGACCACACCCTCTGAAGCTCATCCCCAAGAGCATGGCAGGGAGCAGCCTCCGGCCAGCGTGGCCCTCGCAGGGAAGTAGTACCAGAGTGGCCCTGCTCCCCGGCCTGTGCTGGGGCCCCCGGATGGAAGGCCCAGGTTTTGCTGTTCATGAGACCACAAGCCTCACTTCTCCATGCAATTCGGAGGTCTACCAACAACAGCTCCAACACCCCAGGCCTCTCCAGCTGGGGCAGCCAGGGTGGGTCACACTTCCTCCCCGCCCTGCTCCTCACAGGCCCCCGCCCACACCAACTTCTCCCCGCTCAGCTTTTAAGAGAGGGGCTGCCAAGCGTAGCCCACAGATGGGTTTTCTTTGGCCCACACATTGTTAACAGAAAGAATTTTAGTTAGTTGCCAAGATTTAAAAGATGGGAGAGTGCATATAAAATCTGGATTTCTGGCTTCTTTTGAAAAATCAGACCTTCTAGCACCCTGGGCCTGTGCTCCTACAAAGCAATGGCTGCAGGGTGTGCTGCCCGCTGCCTCTGCACACGGGTGGGCACTCTGTCCCCACCCCGAGCTGCCTGGTCCCTCTGGCTGCTGACCTGCGCCCAGGTCCGGGCCCACCAGGCTCTGCCTCCTCTCGGTCCCCAGGAGGTGGCTGCTCTCCCTTCTTTGTCCCCATCTGCCCCCTCCCATGTTTACATGACGTGTCAGGGACTTCCAGGAGAAGGCTTCTCGGCTCTGGAGGGCTCAGAGTGCAGCGGGAAGCAGGGAAGGTGCTTCAGGAAGCGGGAACTCAGGATCTTCAGGGATTAGGTGGGTACCACTTGTCTGCCGAGCCAGGCGCCACTCTGGATGGCCGCAGTGAACAGAGCCACCGTGACTATCCAGCACACCGCGGGTCCCGCCCATGAGCTGAGTGGTGGGGCGGGGTGGGGGGCGGTTTCCTGCAGGCGCAGCAGGGAGGCTTCTCTGAGGTGAACGGACACAGAGTTGAGTGATGAGGGAGCTTTCTGGGCAGAGGCAACAGTGAGGGCAAAAGCCCTGGGGTGGATGGGGGTGGGTTTGCAGGCTCGAGGATCCAAGAGGCTGCTCCAGAGTGGCTGAGTGTAGGGACCCTGGGGGAGGCAGTGCGGTACGGCCACAGGGAGGGGTGTGGCTTCCTCCCGATTAGGATGAGCAGCCCCGCGTGCTGTCAGCAGGCAGTGAGGGGCTGCATGTCCGCGTCTGAGAACCTCAACCCCAAGAACAAGGCCACGTGCAGTGGTGGCGGGAGAGAGGGTGGTTCTAGGACACAGTTGAGCGTAGAAATGCCAGTATTTGCTGATGGATCTGTGGGGTGCAGGAATAGTGGGGGCAGAAGCGGTGGGACACAGAGTGATGAGTCCAGAATGGCTCCTGCTTTTAGCCTGAACCGAATGTGGGAGGAAGTGATTCTACCTGGCAGGTGTAAGGCTGACATCACAGAAGGGAGGAGTCTGAACTCTCCGGGCCCAGACCAGTGCCCAGGAGTTGGCCAAGCAGTTGTGAGGAAAGGCATGTCGGCAGGAGGTCGGGGGGGCGCTGGGGAGGGGATCACAGACTGGGAAGGCAGGTGCCAGGCTCCAGCGTTGGAACAGGGGCGTCTGAATGGCCCCACTGGAGTGACTGGCCCTAAATGGCCTCCCTGGCAGCGGCCAGCCGGCACACTGGGAATTCACTGTGTGAACCCCCTGCCCGCAGGGACCTGCTGGCCTCTTAGCCACGCAGTGGGGCCCTGACCGCCCCACTCTGTTCTTGGTGGCCCTGCCAGGGGGCAAGCTCTCGATCCGCCTGCTCCCCTGCAGAGCTCCACGCTGCCCCACGGGGTCTGCTACATGTCACACAGGCCAGAGTGGGCCAGAGGTGCCGACCCCAGGCACCACGCCCTCCTCCTGCGGTGGGACTGCACTCCCTGCCCTCCGCAGGGAGGGAGCCGCGGGATGTGCTTCGGCCACTGAACTGTGAAGAGAGTGGGCGTGTGTTACTTCCAGGGGGCGCCTGCGTGAGCCCCTGTGGCCACCTACCTGCTTCATACCTTCCACAAACATGTATGGAGCACTTACTCTGGGCCAGGCACTGTGCTAGCACAGACATGACCCAAATCTAGTCCCCATCCCTGAAAACCACGCTTTCTAGTTGGAGAGGTGTATGGAGGGAGATGAAGTCTGAGGACACGGAGATACACGACAGCACAGGGGCTGAGGGCATGGCTGTGGGAGCTGGAAGCCTGGGCTTAAATCGCAGCTCCACTCACTGGCTGGGTGACCTTTGGCAAGTTACTTAACCTCTCTGTGCCTCTGTATGATGGGGATAACAACACATACAATGGAGTTATTGTGAAGATTTCATGAGTTAATATACATAAAGCACTGTGACTCGAACCTCAGAAAATATTGTTGGCTATACAGTGGGAAAGAAAGGCCAGGGCTAGGAGAACTAGACCAGGGTGATGTCACAGAGGCCTGAGAAGGCATCGACTTCATCTGGAAGGGGCACTTCCCTGATGAGGTAGCACTGGACCTGGAGCCAGGAAGAGGGTCCCTGGAAGAGGGTCCCTGGTGGAGAGAATGGCCACCGCAAAAGCCTCATTTGACAGATAACAAAATGGGAAACAGAAAGGTCAAGTACAGATTGTCCCAAAATAAAGAGGACTTTGAATCCATTCTTCCGCCCCAAGAAGTCCCTACAAACTCCCTCTACCCCCAACCTTGGTCCAACTCTGCCGAGTCCCACCCCCCCAACCCCCCGCCCGCAGCCTCTCCTGCGCACCCCGCGTTGCTCTCGCTCAGGCTTTTCTTCATCGCGTCCTGTCTGTAAGGACGCAGCGCCAACAAGGCACCAGCTGCAGCATTTTCACCGCCTACGCCTGATCCGCCTCTGCGTCCCGGGCCCGGTGGTCTCCCTGAAGCACTTCCGCAGCCGTGGGTAGTGGGAGACCCCAGCTCGCCCCAGCCCTGTCTGTCTCCAGGTCTGGCATTAGCTCCTCTAAGGCACAGACCACACCAGTCACTTTCTTCACATGCATCTTGTTGCCACTGGGCTGCAAACCGAGCAGCTGGTGCAGCAGTGAGCCCTGAGCAGGACTCTGGGCGAGAGCAGTGTCAGGCTGCGAGTGGCACTTGAGAAACGCCAGCTGCTGACCCTGATCTCGTCCAGCAGGGGTGTGTAAGGTCAAGGAAAGGGTTCTCTAGTCTTTTTTAAAATGTGGAGATAGGGTCTCACTCCGTTGCCCAGGCTAGCCTCAAACTCCTGGGTTCAAGCAATCCCCCGCTGCCCCCACATCTCAAGTACCTGGGACTACAGGTGTGTGCCATCATGCCCAGCCCTAGTCCTTTCATGA